GTCAGTGGGGGGCTACCCTGTCGAATAACCAGCCCCATAACAGGGATACTCGGTGGGGACGGTTCCTTTGCAGCCTTGCCACACTTTCTAGGTCCCAAATGTTTTGAGGTGATTGGCAGCCCCGACAGCAGGTGCCAGTTCCAGTGGGACAAAGCTCTTCCCCTGGGCAATACGAGGGTGGCTGAGGGGCAGCTGGAGTCGAGCGTGGTGAGGAGGTTGGCGTGCGGACCGGGGTAGATGCCGTCGACATGACACGTGTGCTTCTATGTTATATTGTACTACTCACCCCATTTCCTTGCTAGAATTCGGTCTGAAGCAACGTGGTGATCTTTGGAGGAGGGGAAACAGCGTTGTGAGCAAAATCCTGAAATGCCGCACACAAAGGACCCGGTTAAATTGATTCATGGCATAATGTTTCAATGCGTGTTTAGGAAAAAGAGAAGGTGAAGCAAGGCTGGTGTATCCAAGCAACTCTGAAGTCTTCACTGTTGCCATGGGAGGCTTTATCAGTGACGTAGTGGTGGAAATTGTCCTTTTCTTATAATTGAAGGTTGTGGCAGGAAGACGAGGGTTTTTTTTCCAGACAGACGGACCCCTCCAGCAGAGAAGCAGTAAGGAACAGACTGGCGCTGAATCACACACACCAAAAAACACACACAAATGTCTGATTTAAAAAAAAAAAAAAAAAAAAAAAGTATAATGGAACCACATTAATTCTCAAATACAGACACTAGGTCCCCTTAAGGTGCTGTTTTTGAAACAATTTGTCCTACCACAATCAGCCTGCAGGGTAAAGCAATGCAGTTCTCGACCTGAAGACAGAATTCATCTGCTGCCTCCCGATTCATTTAATTTGCTTTTTTAAGTCTACTTGGTAAGGTATAGCAAATATTTCTGCCAAATCTTCAAACAGAGGAGTTGTAAGTACTGATTTTCTTTCTTAGCATGCAAAACAAAAGGATGCATTGTGAGCATCATCAATGCTGAATATTGTATGAATATATTGCTATATATGCATGAATATGGCACTCTATGTACCACGTGGCTCCTAATAGGCAGGATACTCATTTATCATTACAGATATATTAACAGAGTTAGTTTGAGGAATTTAGATTTAAGATAATATTTCCCTGCATTTTCCATTCGAAAGGTAGGGAAGGAAAGGTAATACCTGCCATAATATTGGGTCAGGGAATAGATTTATAAGAAAAATCTGGAGTTACACTGTTTTCTGACTCCACAAGCAACATGTTTTAGTATGCTCCTACGAGCAGATGCCCAGTAAATATATCTTTGAGCAGGAAAAGGAAATATTTCCTTAAACATCCTGCAGTAAACGTGACTGATTGAGTTTCCCTTTCCCTCTGCCTGGTGCATTTCCCTTCTCTGCACAGACAGGATCTAACTAGATTTGCGGGGTATGAACTGCAGCTTACTTTCAAATTCATAACTATGAAATGGTTCGTTTAGCAGGACAAAGGCCAAGCCAGCAGACACCCTTTTTCCAGCTCAGCATGTGCATAGCAATGGGAGGGTGGCAAGGAGCTTTTGTTAATCTCAACCGAGCTGGCAAGAATGCTGCAAAATGAAGTCTTTGAAGATGTTTTTTCTTCATTTTTAAAGCAATAGTTTGTCCAGGAGGGGAAAAAAGGCGGTGGGGAGGCACAAAAAAAAATTGCAAAATATTGAAAGCCCTTCCTGTCAGCCGTTATAATTGAGGGGAATTTCTCCACTAGTAATTAGACTCTACGGTTTCCTTCAACAACTGTTTTTTCACAGGTTCTTATGCAAGTGTAAAAACTTTTTTTTCTTCCAGCTTGAATGCACGTTTTTAAAACTCAGGGTGGTGGAAAGGATTAGGGGTATCGGGTCAGGCCGGGGCTCATCCAAGCTGCAGTGGGATATTTTCCTTTTAGTTTAAACGTGTAGGAATTGAAGGCTTTAAGAGCCTCATGCTTAGAGCTGTTCGCAAAACAGTTGGGGACTCTCAATCTGCTGCCTAACGCACTCCCATGGCACGACCAGCCCTGGCTCCTTGCCCTGTGCCAGAGGCTGCAGCTCTGCTGCCCTCCTGGCTGCTCCGCAGGGAAAAGCCCCTCGTCCGGAGAGGCCGCCGGCTCTCCCGGCGCAGGGCCCCGCGGTGCCCCGTGGCACCCATGTCACACCCATGCCACAGCCCGTCCCTCTTCGTGAGCCCAAGCACCCCCTGCCCATCCCAAAAACCAGTGACCCAGCGTGCGGATGGGCTTAGATATCTTTATTTTTACATGAAATCATAAATACAAAATAAAAATAGTAAACCAGTACTGCAGACTTCTGTTTTTTTGCTGGGGTGAGGTTCAGGCCTGATCCTTCCAGCACTTCCAGTTCTTAAAATTCAATACTAAGTCTTTGTTCTGGGAAATCAAAACAAAGCAAAACCGACTTAGATTTTTAACCCGAAGAAGCCAGTGGCATCAGAAACAATGTTCTCTCAGGTTATTTTTTTAAAGCACATAAATAAGTGTACTGAAAGATGGAGATTAAATACAAAAATATTTTTTAAAAGGGACCCGCTTCCTGCTCGTGTTGTTGGGCGCTGCCCCGTGACCGCAGTGGAGCTGCATCGCGTCGGCGGCGAGTGATGTTTTTGGTAGGTGACGCTGTGTTTGCTACTACATTCACAGCTAGTCCTGGGTAGTTTTTACAGATTTTGGTTATAGGTGGACCCAGCCCTGCTGTTACAAAGCTAAAAATCACAAAGTTTGGCTTGTTAAATAAATTTCCCTTGTAAGATGGGGGTTTCCCTCCCTCACCTGAAGACAGCAGCTCTGATTTGATTCAGGACTAATTCCCATGTGCTCTCTTCCTAGAGCCAAGAGGGCTGAGTGATGAGCAGAGTGTCCATAGCTTTGGACTGGGTGACAGTTGAACATTTTCATTTAAAATAAAATGACCACGGAACAAATAAAGGCACTTAATCACACAATAAGTCAACTTTGGTAGATTCCTTGTAAAATAGATGCATTTAAATACATTTACAGTTTACAAAGCTATATTGTTTTTAAAAAGTTGCAATGATGAAATACAAAATATTTCACTCTTGTACCAAAACCACATGTAACATCATAACAACAGTATTACAACTTTTACTAAAATGCAGCCAATACAAGAACTGCACCTCTTTATAGAAAAAAAAAATAGTCCTAATCATACTGCTCTGTATCTGTATTGTCTGGTGGGCTCAGACCCTGCAACATAGGGGCAATGTTTAGTAGGGCAAGGCTTTAATCTTTCATGCGGATCTGCATACATGTTGATGCCCCCGTTTCTTGTTCAGTTTGCTAAGCAAAGCAAGAGCAGAGTAGCTGTAAACCTATCCCAGAACTGCAGTTATGGTTAGTCCTTGCATCTCAGCATTATGAGAAACTCCTAAGAGTTAAAACGCAGGTTAGATGTGCCCTGCCTTGCTGTGTGCCTGCGAGGGTCCCCCGAGGCCGTGGGGTCACACCTGGAGCTGCGCTCGTGCTCTGTAAATAGCTGGTTTCCTTGCTGGCAGGAAGCTGCTCATGGCGATACGGATCCTACCATGGTCTGTAGCAGAATTCCATGTTGATTTAAAGGTACAAGTAGGATCTTCTTTTTCTCTTGATGATTTGCATGAGACAGTCTCCTTTAATCTCTCCTTTTTTCTTTTGGAGCAAAGGAAGGTGTATGTCCATGTTCCAGGCCGTGGTGAAGTTCATCTGTGGTCGAGCTCAGAAACTCAGAGTTATGCAGTCTGGAGGATCTTCTTTTCACTCCGCACCGTGTTACCAGGGCAAGACGGTGGGGCTGAGAGGGCTTTGAGAGCCCGTGGGGCTTTGCATCTCTTGACTAGGCTGTATACAGTCTCAGACAAAACGCCTGGAGAACGTCTTTTCACGCTGACTTTCTCTTCCTGGTTGGGAAGTGAAGTGCACGTAGCAGAATTACACTGGGGAGCAGCTGCTCACCCACCAACCACACGTTCCAGGGCTGGCGGTCAGAGGGGCTTGGCAAGAAGCCGTCCATACCCCACCATCAATATCCGGGCGATATTGACACTTTCAGCCTCCTGCAGTGCAGATGGGAGAACACAAGAGACGTGCCCTGTGGGAGCCAGGGCGTGCAGGGATCTCCCATGTCTCTGATTCTACTCCTCCATAATTCTGGCAACCTGCAATGCTTTCGTGTTCAAGTAAACCTAGAAGAGAAGCTGATGAAGGAGGGAAGGGGCAGCCTAGGATAATCTGTTTGTATTCCACTAAACGGCAGCAACTCCACAACTGCATCTGAGAGGCTCAAAGGCACAAGCGCAGCTCACCGAGGCACTGCAACCACTGAAGGGGCTCAAATGCCTCGGTCCAAATAGTCATTTGCCGGCAGGATTAAGGACCGAGGTTAGCGTCACACTTTAAAACAGAAACAGTTGCCCAAAAAGAAGCAAATGAAAAAAACCTCAATGAGTGGTGGCCACGGCGGAGATCAGCCAGACGCAGCATTTTGGGAGCGAGGGCAGGTCCCCTGCACGGTGCCACCAGCCAGGGCAGCGCCCCGAGAGGCTCCAGGGTGCGGGTGGATGACGAGGGCCCCGCGGCGCTCCCGGGACGATGCCCGGGGAGCGGGGCCAGGCGGGGCCGGGGCCGGCTCCCTGC